TCATTCCTTTTGATGGCTGCATAATATTCCATTGTATATATATACCACATCTTCTTTATTCATTCATCTGTCGATATGGACATCTTGGCTCTTTCCACAGTTTGGCTATTGTGGACATTGCTGCTATAAACATCGGGGTGCATGTACCCCTTCAGATCCCTACATTTGTATCTTTGGGGTAAATACCCAGTAGTGCAATTGCTGGATCGTATGGTAGCTCTGCAAATTGATTTTCTATGTATCAAAGTCTCTTCCATCCAATTCAGACAGCTTCTTTCAGCCTCAGTGCAAAGCCCAGTCTGTTTCTTTTAGGGAAGGCAAGTGCTTGAACTTGAAGATTTTATAAGTAGCACAGAGAACTTCCTCCTTTATGCTGGGCATGTCAGTAACCCACTGGTCTCTGTGCCAAGCTCTAAGGAAAGCAGACATCCTTGGTAAATGAATTAGCTCTGCCTGTATCACACATTACAGTATAAATTTTACTTTTCACAACTTCATAGAGAAGCTGACTCTTTGAGGTACCTAGAACAGATGCTCTGTGCATTGAGCTTTATATTTTTAACAAGATTATTGAGGTACAATTTACACATCATGCAATTCGCCTGTGTTAAGTGTAGAATTTGATGCGTTTTATGGTTTTAACTTTTCTGGTGTCATTTCAGATGGGGACAGCAGGTATGGGCTACATGTTGGGTATAAACAAGAGAGACTGAAGAAAACCTTCCAGGACAAATTGTTGACACCATCCCTCAAGTCGACTGCCACGAGTTCTACCTTCAAATCTTTAGGCTCTGCACAATGCACTCATTCAGAAATCAGCTTCCCAAATGGTGAGAGAAAATCTATGCTGTCTACCCTTACATTCCAGAAATATTGAATTCACGTGAGGCCACATACGTGGTCTTGGGAGATACTACCTCCTCAAAACTGAGAACACGTGTGCATGTATATACTTGGGCTCGTTCCGGGCTGAGAAAGTGCATATAGAAGCACATAGTGAACTTAGTAAGTGCAAACCTGGTGGGTTATTCATCTAAGATGGGAGGGAAGAGACTTGAGGTCAAAATAAATTCATGTGTAATTCAAAACAACAGTCAGAGACTGTGAAAGCCAGAAGGAACCTTAGACAATGTCTAGTGTGATCCCCTCATTTTCCAGATGAGGAACCTTAAGCAGGGAAAGGAAAGGGGTCTTATGGACACTCACTCACCGTCAGCAGCAGAACTGGGGCCGGAACTCAGGTGGCCTGGCTTGCAGGCTAGCGCACATCGCATGCCACCAAGAACACCCACTGAGCTGCACGACACTCTTAGTTGCTCAACTTCTTCCCTAGAAAGCCAAATTTCTAGGTACAGAGATAGTTGTTGAGGCGGAGGTGGGCATTGGAAGGGAAAATGTAAGGAAAGGATTGATCTTTTTTTTTAAAGATTTTATTTATTTATTTGACAGAGAGAGAGACAGCGAGAGAGAGAACACAAGCAGGGGGAGT